CAGGCGCCTGGTAGCTAAAAATGAGGCTACCTGGAATTTTGGGTACACAGCGATTTTTTTGGCTTACTTTATGTTTTTTGGGTCGCTGAATCCGAATCTGAAGTTTCCGCACGCGTATCATTTTCCGCTATTTTGAAAAAATGGCCTAAAAAGGCCTTTTTTTGCGGTTTTTTTTATATAGCGGTTACGGATGAGGAAAAGTCCCGGATTTAGCTAATGTTTTGAATAGCTGACAAAATTTGGAAGAAAATGGTATATGAATATGCTAGGTTTGCTCAAAAATTGAGGAACCTCGGATTTCGGAACTTTAGAACGCTTCGGAACTTGGCTGACCGCGGCGAGCCGGATCGCGCGTTGACGGGTGCGCCGCGAAAACGTGAATAGGCGCGATGTTCACGATGCTATATCTTCCTCAATTTTTAAGCAAACCTAACATATGTATACACCATTTTCTTCCAAATTATGTCAGCTATTCAAAACATTAGCTAAATCCGGGACTTTTCCTCATCCATAGCCGCTATATCAAAAAAACCGCAAAAAAAGGCCTTTTTAGGCTATTTTTTCAAAATAGCGGAAAATGCTCACCAGATACGCGTGCGGAAACTTCAGATTCGGATTCAGCGACCCAAAAAACATAAAGTAGGCCAAAAAAATCACTGTGTACCCAAAATTCCAGGTAGACTTACCAGGCGCCTGGACTATTATTGGTTTCAGGGCTTATGCCTCAATGCGCGTAGTTCCGTTTGGGAGAAATACGTTCGTTTGTCGATCGAGGTCATTCGATAACGATTCAATAATCGAAGCGCAAACGAAACGGGTGCCTGCCCGGAGCCACGTCTGGTTTCAGTGTACTCTCCTCAGGAGCACTCGTTACACGCTACAAATAATGGAGCGTAGGAACGCGTATTTTCAATCGATTCGACCAAAAAATCGATCTTTTTTTTAACCGCAAAATAGATGAAATCGTATTTATTTTTCGACCATGATTCATCGGCCGAATTGAATTTCGCATCGATATTGTCGATATCAAAAATACCCGCCTGGTTCATCAATAGGCTTGTTGCAAATTTCAGCTAGAGCCAAAAGAAGAGTTATCTTTATAGGAAATTGTTACAAATTCATGAAGTGCGCATCGTGAAAGTCTAAAGATAAAACTTGTGAAGTTAGGAGTGTACTTCAGACTTCCCGAAGCGCTCATCGTGATTTTTACGCGTCATTTTCTCTAATAAACAACTCTTCTGTTTGCTCCAGCTGAAGTTTACAATAGGCCCATGGTGCAACGATAGCAGAAATGTATCTTCTGGGAGTCAGAAAGCTGGCGCTCATTTTAGTGGCAGTGATACTCAGCAGCTAGGAAGTGTGCTGAACCGAATAGACTATACTCAATTCTCATTTGAATTCCCCTCAACGCCACAATCCAGCTCGCCCTGCTGGATGGGATAGGCTGGGAGCAAAAACAATCAACTAATTTATTTGTCTGACGTCTGTCCCTTGTGAAGTGGGCGGGAGAATACTCTCTCTGGCGGTCCCTCCCCACTCCCTGCCGCTCCCTAGGGATCTTAGAAAGTTGCTTCCTAATCAGATGTTACGCTATCAAAATAACAGCTTTGCTCGGAAAAAAATGAAATTATGTCATTGGTTGTCTGTTCGGTAAATATATTCCTTTGAAGGTAAACGTAACTAAGAGCTTTACTATTAAAGAAAATCAGATGAAAAGTTTGTTGGGAATCCTTTATTTCGAAATAAATAGAGAGGAGCCGCGAACTGCAGCCTAATCATACGGCAAATCAGATAAAATCATATCGACGTCTGTCGGTGTAGGGCGGGTTGCAGCCAGAATATTGAAGGGAATTTTCCCACTTTACCAGAGTAATAGTGAACATTCTTTGTACTGATGGAGCCTTAGCTTCTCTTGTAACAATAAAAACACACTAAAATACAAAAAGCAAATGGGTATACAAGGCTAGAGGAGACATATAACAACCAGGTCGGCCAGTTTCGGGCCAATTATATGCCCATTCTCAACTGGAACAGAAGCTAAAAAATGTAGAAATTAAAACGAGAAAATGAGCATGCAACTGACCGAGGTTGTATCGACACACATATACGGCGGGTTGCAGCCACACTATTGAAGGGGTCTCTCCATTTTGCCGGAGTGACAGCGAGCATTCCCTGCACTTGAAGATTTTGTCTCTCCAATATCGACGCTTCTGAAGGGTGGGTTGCAGCCAGAATTGAATGGGATCTCCTTATTTCGCTAGAGTGAAAACGAACGTTCTTTGTACAAATGGACCGAGTTAAACAGAAAGGAACCAAGCCACATCAGCCATTGCCGAATTTAATTGGGCAATTTATTTTTTTACATGAAAACTGTAGAGCAGATTTCCGTGCAAATTTCAGTGAATTTTCTCCGTAGTACGAAGCAAATCCCTTATCGTTTTCACAGAAATCCGCGCAAACGTTCTGTCATAAAAAATTGAATTGCCCAGTTAATTTTGGCAACAGTTGGTTCCTTGGTTCCTTTCTGTTAAGCTCTGTCCAAATGAAGCTTTTATTTCTTTTAAATCGACGCTCTTGTAGGGCGGGTTGCCGCACCAAAATATTGGAGGGGATTGTTCCACTCTGTCAAATCTCTAGCGAACATTTCGTGTACTGATGAAGCTTTTGTTTCCGTGTTCCAGAGCTGACGGGGCCAAGTGCTCGGCTTCGAAGGTTCGAGTGAGCTTTTTCGAGTGCGAGCGTCCATCTGTGATCACCCCGGAGACGGGAGGCGGAGGGCCGGAGCCGGTCGACGCCCCCGACGGCGAGCTCGACCTCAACCACCTCAGCTCCGCCGCCATGAACTCCACCTTCGGCGACCACCACCCCGCCTACAACCGACAAGCCAGGTAAGATATACCGCACTCCCTACCAGTCACTCATACAGGGTCATCCATAAAACCCGCAATCCTGTAATCCTGAAAGTTCTTGCTCATTTTCAGGTATACTGAAAAAAAAAGTCACGGGCTATATAGACCCGCGCGCGTCCGTTTCGGGCGCAGACGCTGAAAGTTCCGGGTGCTGGAGCAGGGTGTCTACAAGTCTGGAATTTCTAGAAAGTCCGGAAGTAGTATTGATTTTGTAAGGACGGTCCGGAAGTCCTGAAAAAGTACGGACATTTTGCAAGAAGGTCCGGAATTGTTTTCATGTTTTTGTCATTTTTGTCGCAATCTGAGCAAGAAATTAAAATATTTGAATTTTTCCGAATTTAGCCAATTGGAGGTACTGAGAGAGAACTGAATATTTCTGTTGAGACGGCACTGAATTTCTTGGGAATGCACTGAAAAAGTGCTGCAAAAGTACTGATTTTTGCCTGTTTTAGTAGATATTGAAATCTGATTAGCAGTAACATTTTTTGTGTTGGAAGGTTGGCTGCCCATTTGGGCCCTAAAAGCTCCATATTTTGACATGATTGCACTCTCAGTGTGTAGGTACTCTATTTTCTAGAGGGCCTTTTTACAATTTTAGCCGTTCCTAAAAGTCGTTTCTTTTGGCCGAGGAGCACTCCCAAAATTTAAAGACTCTCTCTCTCTCTCAAGTGTTTCTGCAGGGATGATGCCTCGAGTCTCGTGATGGTGGTGGGGAAATTTTGGATCACCCTGTGTAAACTGTGGGTGTCAGAAAAATATTGGGACTTTCTCTACCGCAAGTGATGGGAATACGAATGGGAGATTAGTTTGTAACCCGTTTTGATAGCGCTAAGCAAACCAATCTTAATTATCGACATTCGGCTTTTTTGAAAAGAGCGTATCTGTATGTAGCGGAAGAACTTCGATTGAGTCGTATAATGGTTGGATTCGGATCAACTCCGTATTAAACTGGCTCTCGGAATCGTAATTTTTTTTTAGTCTAAAGTGAAGGAGTTGATACGGGTTCAGTGGCGTGGCGTGCTTTGCGATTTATCGATTGTTATGCCATTTAAACCTATGGAAAAGGATGGATAAACAGGGTGTTCGCAGCGAACACCCGAATAACCGATTCTGTAGCATTAGTTTAAATGGCATAACAATCGATATATCGCAATTCACGCCACGCCATTGTACGGGTTGTTTTTGTGCCCACCCTTACTCTCCTCAACTCTACAATTTTTTGGTCATGAAAAGTCTATTTTACAGAAAGCCCCACATGATTTGGCAACTGTCCGTTTCTTTTCTTGTTTTTCCCTTCTCCCTTTTTCCTTTTTTTCTCACTTTTTTTCTCTTTTTCTCTCTTTTCTCTTTTCTCTTTTTTCCCTTTTTTATTTTTTTTATTTATTTCTTTTTTTATTTTTCTTTTATTTTTCCTTTTTTTTATTTATTTATTTTTTTATCATTTCTTCTCTCTCTCTTTTACCTTTCTTTTTCTTCAATAATCATCTCCAAATCCCGGATAAGCGACGGGAACCGTTCCGGGTTCGCACGTAGCCGCAAACCGTTAACGCTGGATCGGGCCCTTTCTCCGGTCATCGGCAACGAGAGACGAGTCTATCCCTCGGAATCTAGACGCGTCGTCGCGTCGCGGCGGCGCTGCATCACGTCGTGGCAAATTGTCCGAGTCGGAGCCAACGTCACGACTCGCCAGGTGACGTCACTCCACGCCGAGACGCGCCGTACTCACGGATACGTTGCCGATTCGTCCATAGGGGTGCAATAGTCTGCCACTGGAAAAAAAACCACATTGGATCTAGAGTCCAGACTCTTGAAAACATTGACAAGAAAAAATACTCTTGATTCAATCAGATTTAAGCTTAAATCAAAAGGAAATCCGCTTAAATTAAGAGGCTTGGTTCTTGATTTAAGCTAGATTCTGATTGAATCGAGAGCGCTTTTTCTTGTCGATGTTTTCAAGAGTTAAAAGGCGAAGCGCGATTGGTCGGCTATGTCTTATCGCTGCTTTGTCGTGCCTATGTCGGGTTGACCTCTCAACAAGCTAACGGCACCTCTTAAGTTTCCGACAGTATGTCGATCATTCCACCTGACAAAGGCACGATAAAGCAGCGATAAGACATAACCGACCAATCACGCTTCGTCTTTTAACCTATGTCATCTATGTCGTCCCGACAAACTAAAAAATTCAACAATCAGGCTGCAGGACTCTAGATCCGATGTGTTTTTTTTCAGCGATGGCCAGAGATCACTTTCATGCACGGAGAAGAAAACCTCGGTTACGAGATCTGAATTTCTCACTTGTAGGCTGATTATTTAAATTGATAGACGCAGCGATAGAGAAAGAGGACTTAGAGATATGAGAGGGATCCCATTGATGGAAGCGGAAGGTTGCAATGGATGAAGGTGGTTATTGGAAAAAAGTCTCTTGGATCCAGAGTCCAGACTCTTTAAATATTCACAAAACTAAAGTGCAGTTCTATGAACTGACAATGAGACAATTGGTCCTTCGAATAAGTCGTCTAAACCGACAAACCTCTGCGGGCTGATCATTGAAAGTTATAGACACAGGGAGACTGGATCGATCCTATTGATTGAAGCGGTGGTTGCTATAGACTAATGGAAAAATGGTAGACCAGATATACGGTCTTTCGAAGGTTGTCGTTAAATTACTTCACTGGTAAAACATTCTAATTGGATCCAGAGTCTAGATTCTTAAAAAAATTGATAAGAAAAACACTCTGCTGATTAATTCGGATTTTCACTTGAAGCGAGAGCCTAGCCTCTGAATTTAAGCGGATTTCCCTTTCATTCAAACAAAAATCCGATTGAATCAAGAGTATTTTTCTTGTCAAATTTGTTAAAGGTCTGAAATCTGGATTCTATGGAAGTTTTCTCCAGCGAGTGGAGTCCTTGTGGAGTTCGGCTGTTTCCATGACGAGCCGTTCAATTTTATCCCTTTTTAGTCATTAATGCTATCGATGGATTCCGCTCAGAAATATGACAACAGCGCTTTGCAGAGACCGTGAAAGTCTAGGAGAACCCGAGAAGGAGACGAAAGACGAGTAATCCGTTTTTAGGCTTCTCCGGCTTCCCTCACCACCCCCCCTCCACCGACCGGGGCTAAGGAAACTCGTCGCATCATTACGCGCCGCCCCGGCCGGCCGTGATACCAGCCCGTCGCGACACGACGCGATGCGTTGCGCCTTCTGAAAAAGCTCGCCGCAATCGTGCTAAACCCTCGTCTTCGGGTGAGGACTCAATCGCCAGCAGGTGAAAATCGGAAATAAATTGTCGCGAAAAAGTACATTCAAGTTGCGAGCGAAAAGAAATGTTGTCAGTACGTACTTATTTTTACTGCAAAATCATATTGTCTAGGACCGGGAAAATCGGGATTCATCAGGGAATGAAAAACTACAGGAAAAATCAGGGAACACTGGAAAAAAAACACATTGTATCGAGAGCCCAGACTCTTAAAAACATCGACAAGAAAAAATACTTTTGATTCAATCGGATTCTTGGTTAAATGAAGAACCAAGCCTCTTAATTTGAGCGGATTTCCTTTTGATTTAAGCTTAAATCTGACTGAATCAAGAGTCCTTTTTCTTGTCAATGTTTTCAAGAGTCTGGACTCTAGATCCAATGTGTTTTTTTTTTTTTTTCCAGTGAATAATCAAGGAATTTGTTCCTGAATCAGGGAGTCTCTTCTTCCACCGCTTAGAAACCATAGGCATTGCACTTGAGCCACGATATTTGACTTCTTGAATCTTAGAATTGTCATTTATCAAAAAATAATGTACAATTCCTTGAAGAATCGGCTGATCCGTAGAGTTACGTAGTTTTTCTCGAGACAATACCCCGGCGAAATGAGGAAAAATTTGGGTTTCTTCTCGGGAAATGAACTCCTGTAAATCAGGGAAAGATTTCTGGGCCATTTACATGATACAACTGTATCAACTTTTCGGTAGCCCCAATTGCCTAATCGCCCAGTTGAAGGCGAAATTGACGTAACCAGCTTTGCTCCAAGTTTGCATCAGTCCCATTCGCAATTTTTGAAATCGTGCAATTCATAGTAGGTGTTGGATATCACTACAATATTTTTTCACACATACAGACTAACCCGAAATTTTTATATAGACCAATCTGAAAAGGGTCAAAAGGGATAAAAAAATTAGGGGCCACAAGGGTGTTGCGGGACTTTTGGATCACCCTGTGTACAGAGTTCTTTTTACGTACATTCATAATTACTCCACGTTACCAGTGAAAGCGGGGTGAAAAAAGCTAATTTTCAGCGTTACGTATTTTATGAACAGCCCACAATACTGACCCACTCCCACTATCGAAAAACGCGGACCCGTAGCCAACGCCAGGCGCCGCCCAAAATTAATTAACCCCGAGGCCGCCCTCGCACAGTGGATCGAGTTAATCAGAGAAGTCGGACATGAAGTTTTACTGCATGAAACTGCAAATTTTGATGTTTTATTCGTCACATTTTCAGGGTGTCCAGAGTCTCCGGAAAGTCCGGAAGTACTTAAAAAGGGCGGAAATGCCGCAGGAAGGTTTTTTCATATTTTTGTCATTTTTATCGCAATTTGAGCGAGAAATCCAAATTTTTGAAATTTTATTGAAATTCGTCAAATTTTTTTTTTTTTTTTTTTTTTTTTTTTTTTTTTTTTTTTTTTTTTTTNNNTTTTTTTTTTTTTTTTTTTTTTATTCTTTCTTTTCTTTTCTTTTTTAGTAGTTCTTCCAGGAGAAAAAATGGCGAATCTTATCGAAGATATGACTATTTAAACATCTTGTTCCTCCGGCTGTGGTAAACCAAAGTCGGGGATATTGATTTCCAACCGTTTCGCACCACCACCCCAACATGGGGTGGGTTTCGGCCAGATGGTCATCTAAATGGTTAAATTATCATGTGTTGGTTTGGGCTCTAAATTGAAAGATAAACTCTGTTCGGGAGTTGGCAAAGGGTGATCGGGGTACGA